GGGGGGGGCTGAGCTCGGGTCGGCGGCCCGCTTTGCTTTTTCAAGGGCAGGTGGGTCGGGGAGGGAGTGCTTATTGACACACTCACACACAGAGAGTCAAGCCTGATGATGCAAGGCCCTCCCTAAGGCCGCCCTAAAAGTGTCATGTCGCCACCTCTCTCGATCAGTTTTGCTGATTCGGCTCGGTCCCGTCTCGAACACGAGTGTTTGTATTTCTCTCCGCCTAGCCGATATATATCTTTGCAATAACGCGGCGTGTTGTTCTCTGCCTCTCTCCCAGGACGTCCCTGAAGCTGGAGTCGCTGGAGGACGCCGTGGTGCTCGACTCGCCGGATGACGACCTGCTGCAGGACAAGCGCGGCTGCCCGGCCTACGTCAGTCCGGAGATCCTCCGCAGCCACGCGCAGTACTCGGGGCGCGCGGCCGACATGTGGAGCCTGGGCGTCATCCTGTACACCACGCTCGTGGGGAGGTGAGTGTCGCGCAGCGGGCGCAGCTTCGCCTCCTTTTTCGGTAGACTCTCTAAATCCAGGGCGACAAAGTCACCTAGCCCCTAAAACTAGGCGACTTGTGTCGACTACCTGCTGGACACCGTTTAGTCTCCCGGGTAATTGTATAGGCCGAATTGTGGGAGTGACTACGGGCTGATTCAATGCAATTACTCGGAAGACCAGGAGGTGGCCAGCACGTAGTCGACACAAGTCGCCTTGTTTTGGGGGCTACCTAGCTGGACACCTTGAATTCACAGTCCCTGTGGCCTACCCAGCCTAACCCCGGCCTGTCCTGCCCGCAGGTACCCGTTCAACGACACGGGCCACGCGTCGCTGTTCGCCAAGATCAGCCGGGGCCACTTCGTGATGCCCGAGTGGCTGAGCCCGCGGGCGCGCTGCCTCATCCGCTCGCTGCTGCGGCGGGACCCCTCCGAGCGGCTCACGGCCGAGGACGTGCTGCGGCACCCCTGGCTCCAGGACCGCAACGGCCAGGACGACCTCCTCGCCGGCGACGGCCACCACCGCCACCACCACGGCCTCGGAGGCAGCGACTCCTCCGGCGACCAGCTCGTCCCGGACGTCATGTAGGCCGAGGCCAGGCTCCCGCCGCATCCAGCTTACGCCGCCGCCTCGTCGAAAAGCGTTTGGACAAATTGTGTTGAACACCCTGGAGGGAAGTCCATCCTGTATCCGTAAATTATCTTACGATCAGAAGAGGGAAGAGTATTTATTATCAAAAGCCAACAATTGCCATACACGCGACGTAGGTATTGATTAAATTGTGTTCAGTCAAGTACACCACGTTGTGTCGTTGCAGTCGACGTGTCCACTGTGTGTGTTGTCAGTACCCACGTTCCGTTGTCTTCAATGACAAGTAAGAGAGAGAGAGAGAGATAGGAATGCTATCATTTGAAAATATTTAGTATTTTATGATAACATAGACAGGCGAGTTTGGCCATATCTTTCTTCGTGCTTTTGACAGACTTTTGAAAAAGTACAGCAGTTAGAACAATCTAGGTGCTTTATCTTAATTTCTGCAATTAAGATGTACTGATGGTTTTCATGTTGTTGTATTGGCATAAATTTTTGCATATTGTAACAAAATTTTTGTAAATGCTGTAGTCTTTTTTTCTTTTTTTTAATAGTAAAAAT